GTTTGTGTTTATGATCCATGCCGAGTCTGTTCAAGTATTCGTGGTTGCTGTAACGCACATAAATGGTATAGATTAACTTTTATTATGCAGTTTAACAAATTACAAAAAAAAACTCAATGAAATTTCACAAAGATAATGAATTAAAATGTGAATGTTATTTTTGGTTTGTAATGTTCATGTTAACACTTAAAAACAGGTAAATCCAAACAAAACATTGAACGGCAATAATTAATAAACACTGCACCAGCTGATCGATAGTATTGTTGCCAATTTTTTTTTCAAGCGTACAAGTATTACGTGCCTAATAAATGCACACTATTTTGTGCTGTTTGGTTGAAATACCGAAGTGCGGAAAATTAAAATGATTGCGAGAAAGTGAAATGAATGCGGAAAAGTAAGTAAATGTAGAAATCAACTACTTTTTGTGTTATAATCAGAAAATCTGCTTTCTCAGGTAACTGAAGGAAAAATGTTTACACTCGAAGGGAATTATACACTAGAAATCATACACTTGGTAAAAACAAAATTGCATTCAGCGCACAATCAAGCAACGCAACATCTAACCAAAATATGTTTGCAAGTTCAGCGCTGTATAGAGAAATATTATATCATCAAGTAAAGATTTTCCGGGATATTACAAACACTTTTTATCGCTCTGTATTCGAAAATAGCCCATTTCCATGCAGCTGAGATCTTCGAAAATCGTCAATTTCCATACACCAAAAACAAATAGTAATCAGCTGACTTTTCCTGACTTAAACATTACTTTCGCTACACAAACAATACTTTGCCTGACATCAACAAAGTTACAACTGAAGTTTTTTTAGTTTGATGAAGTAGTTTTTTCATCGTGATGAAAAGTATCGTTCAATACTCGTCACGAAAGTCCCATTTCGTGGCGAGATCGTATTTTACAAGCGAGTCTAGTAGTGAAATATACCATTTTTGGACTCTTCAACTCTTTAGTATTTACTGTGTGTTCCAACAAAACAATTTTTCCTCCAACATCTCCCCTCAATAGATATATGAACTTTTAACTCATTTTCGTATGTATTATATTAGCTTAACGTAAAAAGCTATTAAGCAAACGAAAATGAAGTTGGAAGAAGCAAAAGAGCTGGCCACTGACTGCGGGAGGACGCCAAAAATAACAGAAATGGTGTGTGAAGGAGCTCCTCTGCCAAGACCGCCAGTAGTTGGCTACAGAAGAGGCATTGTACTCCCTGGGCAGCTGAAAAATACACCCCACCCTCACATCATGTTCCTCTCACATTCCTTTGTGCCTTGATAATCAATTTTGGGCCGATGAAGCTCAAGTTCAATGCCCATCTCGAATTATCCATGGAGCAACGAGATCAACTAGGGCTGTCCACATAAGATATCAACGTATCAAGTCACCAATGCTGCTATAGAGTGTGTGTGTACTCCTTGTGTTATATATTTCTCAATAATTGAAAAAATCATTAGTATAGTACATATTCTTAGTCAGGTAACAAAACAAAGCCACACAGAGCTCCATTCTACACTCACCTTGCATTTACTGTATATTGAGCTTAAAATGCCTAGAGTGTTTCACTATCTCAAAGATTTCAAATAGATTTTTCAACCTCTTTTTTCAACCCTTGTAAGTTACTAAAAATTATCTGCCTACAGGGTGACTGAAGGCTGAGTGTGCAAAGGATGAGATAATAACAAGATGAGCAAGTTCTTTAGTCAGGACCCAAGACAAACCTGCAGACTCAGTGAATTTCCATTTACCTAACTAGATTTCCACTAATCTATTCTCTTAAAATTGTCGGATTCATTTCCTATTTAAATGACATTAATTTAAATTAGAACAGATTTGTTGCAAAAGGGGTGTTAATGAGGTCTTTGTTATTCAAAGCGGGTAGCTTAGTATGAAATAAACAACATGGCCAAGTTTGATTAAAAAATGTCCAAAAACAATCAAACTACAACGGTATATTATTCTTCAGTACCTGGGAACCGAGCCTTGCTTGGTTGTGGTTAATTGGGTTTAAGCGAACACAAATATCATAAACAGACATTTTATAATTTTCTGAAAACATTTTTATTACAAACCATAGACATTTGCTCTCTGAAATAATGCCAACTCTGTACAATGTAAAAGTATACAATTTATTAAACAAAACAAAAAAGACACACTTATTTTTGACCCCTATAGGGAAGTAGCTATTACCGTAGGTCTCATGGTAAGACTTAAGCCCGGGACCGATTTACTTTTTCATTTTGATGTCCCCAGAGGCCAAAAACACCATTCGTTCAAATTTTTATATATGTATATATATATATATATATATATATATATAGACTTATATATATATATATATATATATACGTCCGTGAACGCGATAACTTGAGTAATTTTTGTCCGATTTTGATGAAATTTGGTTTAAAGGTGTAAAGCGGGATAAACTTGAATGAGTTCGCGAACCAGCATGATCGGACAATGGGAACGGGGCTTTACGGGGGGTTTTATGGGGTAAAAATTGGTTTTTCTCACTTTTGACCCTCAAAACATAAAATTTCCCAATTTATTTTTAGAACTTTTTAAAGAGCTTAAAAAAACAATTAATTTAGTATATAAAAGTATTTTTGTTCGGTTAATAGTAACGGAGAAAATTAAAAAAATTGTAAATTTAAAATTCCTATGTTATTCTTATGGAGAATATTGTCAAATGTTGTAGTTTGCTTGTTTATGGATATATTTTGTATTTTTATCAAATTTATTCATTTTGTACTAAGCTATCAATATTTTACAAAAAAACACACTTTATTAGTTTCCTTGTAGCAGCAAACCTAGGTATTCGTTAAACCTAATGTTATTAAAATATATTTAATTGAAAATCAATTAAGACAAATGGAAATTCGCTTAGTCGGCAGGTTTGCTGCGGCGGGGGATTTTAATAACATTAGGTTTAACGAGTACCTAGGTTTGCTGCTACAAGGAAACTAGTAAAGTGTGTTTTTGAGTAAAATATTGATAGCTTAGTACAAAATAAATAAATTTGCCAAGTTTGATCAAAATATATCCATAAACAAGCAAACTACAACATTTGACAATATTCTCCATAAGAATAACATGGGAATTTTAAATTTAAAATTTTTTTAATTTTCTCCGTTACTAATAATCGAATAAAAATACTTTTATATACTAAATTATTTGTTTTTTTAAGCTCTTTAAAAAGGTCTAAAGAGAAATCGGGAAATTTTGTGTTTTGAGGGTCAAAAGTGAGAAAAACCAATTTTTACCCCATAAAACCCCCCGTAAAGCCCCGTTCCCATGGTCCGATCGTGCTGGTTTGCGAACTCATTCAAGTTTATCCCGCTTTACACCTTTAAACCAAATTTCATCAAAATCGGACAAAAATTACTCAAGTTATCGCGTTCACGGACGTATATATATATATATATATATATATATATAAGTCTATATATATATATATATATATATATACATATATAAAAATTTGAACGAATGGTGTTTTTGGCCTCTGGGGACATCAAAATAAAAAAGTAAATCGGTCCCGGGTCTAGGTCTTACCGTGCCACCTACGGTAATAGCTACTTCCCTATAGGGAAATTCGCTAAAAGACACACTTTTATAATCTTGCTTGAGTTTTTAAGTGCTACTCGCACAGAAATTTTCTCGCCTATATATTCATACTAGAAGAGTACCCGTCCTTCGTGCGGGGTTGGCAAATAAGTATAAAATGCTTATTGCAGTTATACTCAAGCTTTGCGTTTCCAATGACAAACAAACAAACACAAAAACTTTCACATTTATAATATTAGTAAGATAAGATTATAATATGTGTAAATATATACATATGAATTTGAACGGAAGGTGTTTTTTGCCTTTGGCTCTAAAGAAAAGGTAAATCAGTCCCGGGCCAGGTCATAGAATGAGACCTATGGTAATAGCTTTGTAATAGCTTATTCCCTATATAGGAAATTCTCTAAAGGCCCAATGATCAAAAACAGCTGGGTCTACTATCAATAATTTACTGAAAACAATGTACCACACAACGTGTTTTTGCTCTGACATGCAATATCCAGCTTATCACTTATCCGCTTTTATTTTCCACTTTGCAGCATGCAGCACAATTCGTAGGCTTGATTTTACACTATTATTTAAGCGTTGGCTAAAGCATTATTTCAACGCAAGGTTAGTTATGATCTAGTCATAATTTTTGTTCCTACTTAAAGACTACATTCTAGTCTTTAAGTAGGAACAAAAATTATAATATTTAGGTTGACTTTGAGTTGTTGAGTATGATTCGTTAATAATATTTCATTACCACAAAGATCCTTAGTATAAGTCTAGTCTATATAAAAAACAAAACAGGCTGTATTGTATTGCTTATTGGTAACATTTTTCCCCGATACATTTTACTAATGATAATATTAAATATTTTTACATTCCACGTAACGTTTTTCAGTACACAAACCTAGAAGAGTCTGAATAGATACTTGTCTGACAAAAACCCTTATTAGACGAATCTTTCCTACCTTTAATAGGTTAGGAATGGTTCGTAACTATTCTCACTTCTTCGCAGTTTTGTGTTTTTCTTTCAATGTGTTTGGTGTTATTTGTGTATCTGCTCGTTAAGTTGCAATCGTAGCTGCTACACATAGTTTCTTGAACGGCTTTGGTAAGATAATTGAAAAAAAACCAAAGTTTGACCAAGTTTTATGGGATGAATAAAATACTGTCAACGCAAAAAAACACAAAGATAAGCCTGTTAATGAATATTCCGAATATGAATGATTTACTATATCAATTATTGATTCTTCTCCATTGAAAAAGTAGTTTTTACAGTTCTATCTAAAATTCTTACCTAAGATAAAATTTTTAGCACAAAAGTTAGAAAGATGGTTACTGTAATAATTGAACAAAGCATTTTATTAAGTTTCCAGTGAGTGATTTCAGTGAGATCTGTCAAGTGTTAGTCGCACTCGCACGCCACTCGACTCACTTCCTGCGCTGGTACAAAGCAGGATTCAACATGGCATCCTCCGGCGTGGTGAACGGTTGCCAAGGGGGAGGCTCCGGCTTCTCCTGCGACCTCATCAGTCTATCCTCGGGGGCCTGGGGGGCCTTGGGCCGGGGGACGTCCACGGGCTGGGAAGGCTGAGGTTTGGGAGGTGCTGGCTTGGGAGGAGTTGGTTCAGGAGGTTGAACTTTCGGAGGTTGACTAGGAGCAGGACGTTTAGGCTCCGGAGGAGGTGATGGTTTTACTTCCGGAGCAGGGGGAGGTGGAGGCTTTACTTCCGGTACAGGAGGAGGTGGAGGTTTTACTTCCGGTATAGGAGGGGATGGCTTTACTTCAGGCTTTGGTAAGGGCTGAGGTGTAGGTGCGGCGGGCGTTTTTTGGAAAAGCACCGGTGTTGGGGGTCCCGCGTCGGAGCCATTTTTTCTACCCTGATCTGCGACTATCCTAAGGGACACAGGATGAAAATGTAAAACAAAATATAAAAACAAAATATAAAAATAGTAAAAACACAAAATAACAACTTTTAAAATAAAAATTATATTAAATATGTCAATAATAACTAAATAAAGAAACGTAACGTTCAAATCAACTACAGTTTTAAGAAATTACACTAAAATAAAATGTCTGAATTGTGTTCATTATTAAAACAGAATGTTCATATTGGGTAATATTTTGGACGATTGTAATTATTTATAAATCCTTTATAGCGATCATTGACAGTAGTTGTTGTGCTAAGCAGTAAGGGGAGGATCTTTTTTTACATAAAGTCAAATTCTCACTTCTATAAAGTCATTCACCACTTCCTACGTCTTTGACGTGTATCCCTCCCTTCCCATAGCATTTTAGGATTTACAAATAGATTAATATAACTGCCACAGACGGTTCCCACACTCCGGACTGTTCGCCTTTACACTTCCTTCACCACTTCCTACGTCTTGGACTTGTTTCCCTCCCTTCCCATAACATTTTAGTATTGCAGATACATTAATGTAACTGCCACATACGGTCTCCACACTCCGCATTGCCAGCCTTTACTACTTCCTTCACACCATTCTACGCCGTGGACTTGTCTCCCCCCCTTCCCATAGCATTTTATTATTTTAGATACAATTCTAACTGCCACGTCATAAACGCTTCCCACACTCGGCACTTCTCGCCTTTACTACTTCCTTCACCACTTCCTACGTCGTGGACCTGAGGTTTGCCATTTATGAGATGGATCCATGAATGTGATTCACCGACGAATTGTTTAAGATAAAATGTTATTTGTTATAACCTTATTTAGCTACGTAAATCAAATCTGTTAATGTACCTAAGAAAGTATGTATTATCTATGACTGAACCCATACGATCAGTGGTCTTTTCCAAATTGCGACTTAAATGTAAATCTAAGACGTTCTCTGTGGTATTTGATCAGTTGTCATCATCCGATTTTTTATCCTTTGTACTGTGTTTAGGTCGTGGCTTGATTTTAACATATGCTATGATTCTAGGTTTTGTTTTCATTTAAGTCATTATTTTGTAACCATCATGGCAACCCATAAACCAATGTTAAAATTTAAAAACTCTAAATTACTATAAAATAAAATTATACTAGAGGTCATCCAGTGGTCGAAACTCGACCAAAAATATGTAATGTACAGACTCTCTATTTTCACCCCACACTGTAAATAAAACATGTGATTGGAGTTTTTTCCATTTGTTTTGATTTTCTGTTTATATTTAGTTGTTATTCCGTCACCAGCATGGCAACCCATAAGATCCATGTTAATTTTTTCAAAATTTTAAAACTCATTTTTTGTGCTTATTTTTGAGCCTATTTTAATTTATAAATGGATTCTGCACATCTACAGGAAAATATCTTTACGCCACACTACACTATTTTGACGAACTTTCCACGCAAGGATTTCGTCCAGAAAACAGCTGTTTGCCGCCAGCTTATTCAAATGGGGTTTCATTGCGTACTACTGTTCTGCAATGAGTTTTACCGGACACCAATCAGCTGATTATACTTGTATTTGCGTGGCAATGAGTGGTTATAAACAAAAACATAACCTCTCTTGGAGGTTATGACTAGTGATTTTTAGTCCTTTAGTTGGTGGAAATATATAAGGATTTGTACGGATTAAGTAGTATGGCGTAAACTATCGTACGTAACTCGTCCAAAATGTGTGTACCGGACTCGTATGGTAATCCCGTACTCGACTTCGTCTCGGACGGGAACGACCACACTCGTCCGGTAAACACTTATTTTCAGGACTAGTAACGTAATATACTATTCCAACAGTATGCGTAGATTTTCCCTGCGATGCACACGAGCTGAGAAAAAAGGTTTTAAAGAAACATGCTTGCCTATTAATATATAGATAGATTAGCATTATCAAAAATTTAAATTGGTTACGTCTAAGCCATCCAAACATAAACAAAACAACCTTGGTAAGTTTGGCTAAAAGATTTCAGCCGTTATTGAGATTAAGTGTTGATTGCATTGAAGTTGATCCCAACTTCGCTTCGCTCCGCTCAATAATTGATCGATATTCTACGATGGAGGCTGTTTATGAATAACGAATACTATGTTCTTGTTATCTATGCATTTAGCATTTGTTGTGTAAATAGAAAGTAAGTAATAATCATATGTTAACAATGAAGTTTTTCAAAATATATTTCCCATCACGTGGCAGAAGTAAACACTTGAAATAGTTTAGATTTGGGTTTATGTATGGTATAAGTTAAGTAATTTATGACTAGATCATCAAAGTTTTTAGCCTAAGGAAGAGCTAAAGGAAGAGCATAGGAGAAACACTTATTCACCGCCAATAGAAGTTCTGAGGAAAGATGGAAGAAAGGACGAACATCCAGGCAGAACAGCGTCAAAACTGTCTTGAAACTTTGAGATCAAAAATGGACATGAAAGCGGAAAAAATGGTTCTTGAAAGAAGAATGCAGATGGAACGTGGACTGGAGCAGCAACTGGAGGATGAAAGGAAGATTACTGGTAATACCAATACCTTAGAGAGACATGAAGAAGGAGGAACACTTGCACGAGCGCTTCACCTATTAGAACTAGCACATTTGAGGGAGGTAAGAATGATGGAACGTATAACGGCGGCTAGTGAGGAGTTAAAGGCTTTAGATAAGAAACGTCGAGAAGCGTATGTAAATAAGCATCTTACTACACAATTAGCTGAAAAGGAGGCTGTGACAGCACAAGAAAAGCTAGAGAAATCTAAGATCCAAGAGATAACAGAATCGGAGAAAAAGTGTATGGAGGAAAAGGCGGATATGAATGTAAGTTTCATCCACGCGGAGAAACTAAAGTATAGAGAAGAAAGTCTTGAGCAGATAAAGGAGGGGAATCAAAACCAACGAGATACGCAAAGAGATAGAATACTAGAAAATGCATTACTAGAACAGACATTGAGGAAGATTCGTGAAGAAGACGAAATTGAAGAAGCTGCACGTTTAGAAAGAGTTTCTAGTGTAAAAAGGGAAATCGAAGGATTGAAAAAACAAAGAGAAATGCAGAAACAACGTGAAAAACTTTCCCGAGAAGCCGAAGAAGCTAGAATTAAAGCATATGCAGACGAAAAAGAAAATCAAGAAGAAAAAGAAAAAGAGGAGAAAATGATTATCGACTTTATATTATTACATTTGAACGGATCCAAAATTTATCATAGAAACGAGAGGGAGGATATTCTAGAACTGGTGGAGGAGGAAGAACCAAGACACCGAGGCATTCCAAGAGACGAAGAGAGAGCATTTAGGGCAGAAAGGGAACGCCAGTCTGCTCTTGAGACAGAAGACCCAGAAGACATATCAAGTTTTATAAACTACAGTCTACCCACCGATGATGAGCTTGACGATCTTTGGTACCGGTTCATAGCTGCCGTAAACTATCGTGAGGACGAGGACATTCAACTTGATGTTTAGAGCAAAGGCTAAAGACAGTTTCGTAAAGACGAAGAAAAAGCAATGAACTAAAAATTTGATCAAACTATGTTCACAACCTTTGTTAAACGTCAATTTTATGTTTAATTGTGTTTTTAAATGTTAAAATGTGTATCTACTGATCTAGAAGATTGTACAGTGCAACGCAGTGTGTTGATTATACTAATTATCAGCCTTGGTGGAGATTCTGCAAATTATTTAGAGACTCCGATTCCTCTATATTTATTTACGTTTGATCTATATTGTCATATTTGTATGTGTTTTGTAATGTCTGTGTTATTTAAACGAATCTGTTAAAAATATGCTCTCCTTACTACTAACTTTAATTAACCTTTTCTAAACCACTATTGATTAGTAGTAGCCAGTAAACTAATGTTATCAGATAAACCAATTTTAATTTTCTCAAATAATCCTCAACATCCAACAGGTTTACAAAGATGAATCGTATAGGTATTATTTTAATTTATTACATGGAGATGGTAAAAACAAATAAGACAAATTCGATTTTCCTTGAGGATTAAACCTCATCCGTGAGATGTTTCAGACTACAGTATTATAGATTAAAAATAATATTTGCTGTTATTTGATTTACGTAGATTTAAAAAAACAGATTGAGAGCTAAAAACACAGTCTCTGTAAATGAGTAGGCCTAATGCTTTGAACTGTGATAGATTTCTTCTTTTGGCCGAATGAGAATTTGACTCAGTGAGATACTGCGACGTTGCCTATGTACAGAGAGTTTGGCAGCCATTTGAGTGTCTAATGTTGATGTCTGTCAAGCAATGCACAATGTCCACGTGCGACCTTCTCTGTCTGTGGATTAAAATAATCTATCACCTTTAGGCTACTCTGGATCTCAGCCGGGGCTCAACATCGGACTATCAGCATTGATACTCGTGGCGGTGAACAACTGGCTCTTTTCCTATGAAAAAGTATGCTTGGCTCAGAACTAAAAAAATTATACGGTTTTCTAGCTTTTGTGAAGCCACCAGAAGCTGCTACACCCACCCAAGATTGTTGACACGATAAATGTACAATAAGAATAGTGCTCAGCAACTGACTTTTGGTGATTATCCATTTATCACACTAGTGATATTTGTCCTACTCAAACTTACGCAGTTGTGTCTTCAAAGAAACGAATCAATAATAAAGCTGTTTTAGGTATTCTACCATGCCCTGGTGTTACTATACCCTCAAGAAGCTACATATAATACTGGAATTTTATATTGGCAATTTGAGAATCAGGTATTAACAACTGATCCATGTACATTTGTTTCTTTAAAAGGGCGATACATTAATACTTTTCAATAAACTGGTGACCATACAAAGTCGGTATTTTAAGCCAAGTATGAATGGAGATGACCGTAGGATGAGTGGCACGATCTTATAGTATTGTTAGTGACTAAGGCGCGACTTATTCCTTAGACACAGCTGTTAATTAATAGCCCATACAGGTAATGGCAACTAAGGTACCTGCAGTTTATAGTGGAATCCGAACCACATTTTTGCCTTGGTATATACGAATAATTGGTCTAACTATCAGGATAGTATTGCGGATAGTCGTAGTACTCACTCGTGCGGACGTTAACCCACACCAGGGAGTATCGCATCCACAGTGCTTGCCTATAAATATCTACAATTCGTGACCTCCTGGTAGCTGGAAGTCCGTGCGTTGTCGTGGAAGCTTTGATGTTTTACGCTTTGCAGTTAGTCCTTTGTCGCGAAAGATTATAGTCCCAGTTTTGTTCTGTAAACGATGTAATATCAAACGCTTGGTCAAAACACTAATGTTAATAAAATATAGAAGAATATTTCAAAGGAAGCCTCCTTCCTATCAAAAAATCAGTTTTACCCTTCCAGTACCATTGAATAGTATTCCCTCCAAAGGAATTGGTAAGGCAAAATATTAATGCAAAACTGGTTTTTGAAACTCAACTAATTCTCAAAATGTAGCTAATTATCACCCCTACATAGCAATGTATTCCCTAAAATGATTGAGTACGTAAATATCATTGGCAAATTTAGATATTGTTTGTGACAACCGATTCACAAATTCTAGCTTTACATTATCCCCTCATGAATACCGTTCCTGAAAACAAATGAGTAAGTAAAGACCATTCCCTAATTTTAAAGACTGTTGTGACAAAAGATTCCCGAAATTTAGCTTTACATCATCTTCCTGGTGAAGACAAATTCCCAACCAATAGCAATGTAAAGACTTGCTATTGTGTGTCAACTCATGAGCAGGGAGCATTACGAGTGTAGCTCGACATAAGTAGCCATTTCGGTGAATAATGGACAGTTTGTTGGATACAACCGTGACATTGCAGCACTGTGCCAGAAATGCCATAAACCACGTCTCAGTTTGTCCGTGATTTTATTTCAAACAGGGAAAAGGTGGTATTCACTTGTCTGTAGATGTGATCTTTCGTGTAAGAGGATCAATTATTACTGATTTTAGGACTGATACTTAAAAAGTGCTGAGAGTCTAATCACACAACCGGTTCGATGTTGTAGCTCGTAGCTGAAAGTCTTTGGACATTTCAAAATCATATAAGGGTTTTTTTTTAGATAAAGTACGGTATTCATAAATTGAAATTCTTCGCCAGAATGAGATTGACATTTAGACATACATTTCCAGTTTTAGTGGGTTTGGCCAAGTCCCCGTAGCCGTATTTATCTTCACATCGAGGGTTCATTTTCTATGAAGAACCTGACTTGTTTCTTATATTGAACGTTTAGCTCATCTACCCTCTTTGTCGGAGAAGTTTTGAAGATTAGAAATACATGTTCATTTCCCTGATTGTCTTTAAGTCACGTCTGGTCCATCGAGGCATAAAAAATTCCTATTTGGGTATGTAAAAACGCCAAAAATCTCTACTTTTCTAATATATGCTTGAAAGATGCCCATGAAAGAAGGTTGAGACTCCAGGAAACTAGAAGTTTGATAGGTTTAGGACGAATGATACTTTAATACTTTGAGTTTAAATGGTGACCATACGACAGTAGGTATTTTAAGCCAAGTATGAATGGAGATGAGTGGCGCGATCTTGTAGTCTTGTTAGTGACTTAGCCCGAAATCTTCCTTAGACACAGCTACAGCCAATGGCAACTTAAGGGACCTACAGTTTAAGTGGAATCCGAACCACATTTTTGCCTTGGTCTAATTATCAGGACAGTACTGCGGATAGTCGTAGTACTCACTAGTGCAGACTTTAATCCATACCAGGGAGTATCACATCCATAGTTCATGCCTATAAATATCCACAATTCGTGACCGCCTAGTAGCTGGATTACAGGACGACGCCACCGTCCCATTCGGATAGTCCCTCTTTCCGAATTGGACAGAATGAAGGACTGTACCTGTCCCAATATATTATTTTACATTAAGGAGTAAATTTTGCTCATTAAAAAAAAATTGTTGTGGACTCCGTAGAATAATTACGATATTCTCTACTATAATAGCATTTCTAATGACGAAATATATGACAATAATTAACAGCACGTCCAATCGTTGACATTTTAAGGTACTCGAGACTTCTATCACAAAGTGATTTTCTACGTCCAAGTATACTGCGGTACACGAGACAGCACATGTTAGCAAGTGCAGTTGTTAACGAAGCTGTGTGAGTCACACAATTAGCTCAATTATTGTGTTCTGTAGCAAACAGCTGACCAGTGAGTGACCACTCATACACGACCTGGCACTTGTGTCCTCGGCCAAAGGGAAGGGGATAACGTGATGGCTCTTTTGTATTGTGTTTCTAGAAAAATGTATAGACTTAAATAATTTGTTGGGTGGTACACTAATACTTTTTTGCGCCATTGTCATGAATATAACTGTCCAACACTTGATTTTATTATTATTTTTTATACGTTCTCACGTTTTACTGGTGTCACAAAGTACCATAAATAATTTTACCAATAGGCAAAGCTAAATTAGCATCACCAAAGCTAATAGAGAGCATGAGAGAAGCCTTGGTTCTTTTTTATCCCGTATATATTCACAGTATAGAGAGATTATAACCTGTATTTCACAACATAACAGCTTAGAAAGTATCTATATCTATCTATCTATATATTAATAGGCAAGCATGTTTCTTTAAAACCTTTTTTCTCAGCTCGTGTGCATCGTAGGGAAAATCTACGCATACTGTTAGAAAGCTATTTTCCTGTAGGTGTGCAGAATCCCTTTATAAATTAAAATAGGCTCAAAAATAAGCACAAAAAATGAATTTAAAATTTTGAAAAATTTAACATGGATATTATGAGTTGCCATGCTGGTGACGAAATAACAACGAAATATAAACAGAAAATCAAAACAAATGGAAGAAACTCCAATCACATGTTCTATTCAAAGTGTGGAATGAAAATAAAGAAGTCTGTACATTAAATATTTTTGGTCGAGTTTCGACCACTGGACGACCTCTAGTCTATATATTAATAGGCAAGCATGTTTCTTTAAAACCTTTTTTCTCAGCTCGTGTGTATCGTAGGGAAAATCTACGCATACCGTTAGAAAGCTATTTTCCTGTAGGTGTGCAGAATCCCTTTATAAATTAAAATAGGCTCAAAAATAAGCACAAAAAATGAATTTGAAATTTTAAAAAATTAACATGGGTCTTATGGGTTGTTATGGTGATGACGAAATAACAACACAATATAAACAGAAAATCAAAACAAATGGAAGACATTCCAATCACATGTTTTATTTACAGTGTGGGGTGAAAATAGAGAAGTTTGTACAAAACATACTTTTGGTCGATTTTTCGACCACGGGGCGTGCTCTCGTACTTATTTAATACGCAAGCAGGACTTTTGTGACAATTACTCCTCCGAAACTACTGAACCGATTGACATGTTTTTGGTCTCATTGGAAAGAGCGTAACGTGAAGTTGTGCAGGAAACTTTCTTTTTAGGGAAATAATTAGAGAGTGAGGCCCTGGGACCCTTTAAAGTTTCGTATTTCTCCATAAGATTAACATGGGAAACAAAAATTGTTATGAAACTCCAGCTGTTGTCAGAAATCAAAAGTGAGAAGAAGAGCATAGGTTAATTGTAAACAGTCAATAAGTTTGCTAATAAAACAGTTTGCTGCAAATATTTGCTGACTTGGTTGATGTTCGTTTTAAAATAACGCCTGTAATAACTTATTTAGCAATTGCTCGAATTCGAGCAACAGGGACACTAGTATAGTAAAATGCGGCAGTTTATAATGGACTAATTGTAAATACAGTAGCGGCTGTCGTACAAGCACTTCATTCATAAG